ATCTGATGGACCTTCGTCTATCCTCTATGCAGACATCACTCACCCCTTGTTCGGGCAGTTCCACAGTGTCGTCAGTCAGACTGCCCGCGAAGGAAAATCTACATACAGGGTACGGTACAGACCTTCAACGATGGTCTCTAGTAGACCGATCTACGTTACAGGCTATGGCGTGGAGCTCGTTTTGAAGCGCACAGACTACATCGTTATTGACGACCGGGATGCCCAAAAGACGGGAGATTCGACGCCGGAACAACTATCGTTGGAGACCAAGGATGATGAGATCAAAGATCTGAAGCCCCTAACCACTTCAGAAGTGGCCAAGCTAGGCATCAATGCTGCCAGCTTCATTCTCTCAAGCTCGAGCCCTCTGGATACTCTGTTACAGGTCACTTCGGATTTCCCCAAATACTCTTCTCTCCTCGCCTCGGTAAATGCCAGCAAAGAGTTCGTTCTCGAACACAGGGCAAATCGAGAACGATTCCTACCATCGGGATACAATGTCTTGTGGATCAATGGTGTGCAGATTGAGCCTCGACAGATGAACGCCTACTCTCTTCTCGACCATTTGCGAAGAGAAAGGCGTATTATCGCCGAGCTCAAGAGTCTGGGTTTGGCATCGTCAGAAGCCATTAGCCTCCTCTCAAGTGAGATTATCGCCGAAGCACAAGCTAATGAAACTCCTCAGCGATTCGACTGGCGCGATGATTCTGAAGCTGGCGGCGTCTTGATGTGGCTGAATGATCTGGAACAAGATAAACGATATGCTGGTTGGTCGTCGTCTCTGCGGTCTTTGTTCCAAAGAACATATCCCGGGCAACTTCCTCAAGTATCTCGTGATATACATAATCTCATCGTGCCGATCGACATGGGCAATATGAAAGACATTGAACTGGTCACCACATCACTACAGAGTCTCGTCCGGCGACAAGTTCCCATCAGAATTGCTCTGATCCCCACTGGGGAAGGGGAAACAGCGGACACATACTCAAAAGTCGCATATCACATTTCAGATACCTATGGTTTAACTGCTCTGATGAGCTTCTTCTCCGATATTGTCGCTGCAAAACGGATAGATACAAGTCCTGAGAAAAGCTTCAAGACTGCCATCAGGGGTCGAGCTACAAGGGAAGGAAAAGAGCCGTTAGCCTTTCACGAGGTATTGAACGACGAAAGCCTGGGTCTACGACTGCAAGCACGAGATGAATACATGAAGCGTTTGGCACTTGCACGGCCCAATCCTCCCTTACTCGTCAACGGAGTGGTTATACCGAGGACGGATAACTGGTTTGAGCTTTTGAGTGCTCGGTTGTATGCAGATCTTCAGCTGGTACAGCAAGCAGTGTTTCAAGAAGCCATCTTGGAAGAATCTTGGGTTCCTGAGTTCTTCCTCTTCCAAGCTGTCAAACGGCGCAATGAGATGGTCTTTCCGGATAACGCCAAAGATGTTGAAATTGTTGATGTTGGCCAAATAGCCACTGACTTCGCCGACAGCTTTGCACGCCTGCCTCGCCTGGCCGGGGCAGAAGCGACATTGTTGAGCGACCGTGCTCACCTTCTTGTTGTTGTCGACCTTGAATCCGAGACTGGCCGGATCTTGCTTTCGGAAGCGCTACTGTTCCACCAGCGAAATCCCGAGATAGAGATGCTCATCATTCACAACCCTGGTCCTGAATCACAAACCTCAAGCTTTGCCCGTGGTCTCTACGCGCTCTTACAGGAGAACGGTCGGGACTTGACGGTGGATAGCCTCGAGCAGTTGCTCAAGGGCGATCTGAGCTCTTCTGCGGATAATCTGACAGACGCATCGACCGAGTTTTGGAGTTCCCATACAGATTTACTCCAGACGTTATCATTTTCAGAAGGCCAAAATGGGCTGTGGCTCAACGGTCGTCTCTTAGGACCCCTTGACCAAGGTTTCACCTCTGGCGACTTCGAGGCGTTGCTTGAATTCGAAAGGAGAGAACGAATAGCGCCGGTTACGACATCCATCACTGGACTTGCGCTGGAAGACCGATTCACCGGGGCTCTCGACCTCGCAAAGATTACCTCGCTGGTTGCTCGGTCTTTGAAGTCTGATTTGCCAGAGGGCTTGAGAGAATCCGCGCCCCTGATCAGGATGGAACGCTTCAAATTCTGGAATAGCACTCATACGTCTATTAACATATCGAACTCGGACGACATTAATATTCAGATTGTGGCCTCGATTGATCCCGCCTCTGAGCTGGTTCAACAGTGGGTTCCGATTTTAGAGAGCCTGTCACAACTGAATGGAGTGAGCGTGCAGATCTTCTTGAACCCGAAAGACAGATTGACCGAGCTGCCAGTCAAACGGTTTTTCCGGCAAGTCATTAGTGCAGAGCCCAGTTTCGACTCCCATGGTTCCCTATCCATTCCCAATGCATCGTTCAGCGGTATCCCTAAGGATACTCTCTTCAACCTGGGAATGGTTGTGCCTCCATCATGGTTGGTGGCGCCCAAGATATCCATCCATGATTTAGACAATATCAGGCTCAGTAACCTAGCCGAGGGCGAGAATATCGACGCTGTCTATGAGCTTGAGCACATTCTCATTGAAGGCCATGCAAGGGACGTGACTAGTGGTCCACCACCTCGTGGCGTGCAACTGCTGCTGGGAACTGAGGACGAGCCGCACTTTACAGACACCATCGTCATGGCCAATTTGGGATACTTCCAATTCAAAGCGAATCCTGGGTACTGGCAAATCTCATTAAAACCAGGGAGGTCATCAAAGATCTTCAACATTGATAGTGTTGGTCCCCATGGTTACTCTGCTCAACCGGGCGACGAGACCACATCAGTGGCTTTGCTCTCCTTCCAAGGGCTGACTTTATTCCCTCGGCTTTCCCGAAAACCCGGTATGGAAGAGGAAGATGTCCTGGAGTCATCTGCCCTTGGGGGTGCCATGGACTACCTTAACAAGGGAGCTTCCTTCGCATCTTCAGCACTTTCCTCGCTGGGCTTCAAGAAGACGTCTTCGAACGCCGACATCAACATCTTCTCAGTGGCTTCGGGCCACCTTTACGAAAGGATGTTGAATATCATGATGGTGTCGGTCATGAAGCACACCAAGCACAGCGTCAAGTTCTGGTTCATTGAACAATTCCTGTCACCATCGTTCAAGAGTACTCTGCCCATACTTGCAGAACACTACGGCTTCGACTACGAGATGGTGACTTACAAATGGCCTCACTGGCTTCGAGGTCAGAAGGAGAAGCAGCGGGAAATTTGGGGCTACAAGATCTTGTTCTTGGACGTGCTATTTCCGCTGGATCTAGACAAAGTCATCTTCGTGGATGCTGACCAAATTGTGCGCACAGACATGATGGAATTGAACAAAGTGGACCTGAAGGGAGCTCCTTACGGCTTCACGCCCATGTGCGACTCTCGCACCGAGATGGAGGGATTCCGCTTTTGGAAACAAGGATACTGGGAGACATATCTCCGAGGGAAACCCTACCACATATCGGCCCTCTATGTGGTTGACCTCAAGAGATTCCGTCAACTTGCCGCTGGCGATCGCCTCCGACAACAGTACCAAGCACTGTCGGCTGACCCAGCCAGTCTCTCCAACCTGGATCAAGACCTGCCGAACCATATGCAACACAGTCTCCCCATCCACAGTTTGTCTCAGGAATGGTTGTGGTGTGAGACATGGTGTGATGACGCCAGCTTGGCCAAGGCCAAGACGATTGATTTATGTAACAACCCACTCACCAAGGAGCCCAAGTTGGACAGGGCGAAGAGACAAGTGCCTGAATGGACGCTGTACGACGAGGAGATTGCAGGAGTCATTCGAGCGGCAAAGGAGCAGGCGTCGACGGTCACGGACAGTGAGGGTTTGGAGGACGCTGCTGATGGCGAAAACCTGGAAAATGTTGAAAGTGAGCGTATCCGGGACGAATTATGATGATGATGTTTGTTGTTGCTGTTGTCGTCCATCTTGCTTGACGTTGGGGAAAATACCAAAATCTGTGAATAGAAACTTATAGAGCTAGCTGTATACTACTATACTACCACCACATGACAAAAATAAATGGCGATTTTGATTCATACATACCTCCCTCTGATTGACTGAGTGAGTGACTGAGTGAGGTAGTGAGGAAGTGAGGAAGTGTAGAAGACTTGGTCGCTCTGGAGCAATGCCGCAGACAGGTCTAAAACACTGGGTATAGAGTATAAACTGCAGAATGTCGAACTTCAGAGGGACAGAGAGAGTACCGAGTTACATCAGAGCACCCGTAAATGCCTGTACCACGTGTTCCCACCGAGTAGGAATTTTCGTTCAAGAGGGTCAAGAAGGGAAGGAGTTAACGGTCAGGAGTCAGGAATCGGGTATCAGCACGAGCCAAGCAAAGGTCAAGGAAAGGTCAAGAAGACGTCTACATAGGTCATGGTGGAGGTGTCTCGAGAGAGGTGCTTGGGAAATTAGATACTCGGTAGGTATGTAGGTGGGGCAGGTAGGAAGTCCCGAAGTACGGACTCTGTACCGAGTAAATGAATATACGATGTAGAGAGCAACTTGACTTGGCTCGACTCGACTCGACTCTACGTGTAGGATACGATGTGTGGTGGTGGTGGTGGTGGTGGTGGTGGTGGTGGTGCATATCACCTCATGTCATATAGTAAGTATCAGCATCACATCATATTCTGTCTGGCTATGTGACTGTGTAGCTGTATACACCAGCTTCAGGTTGATACTTTTCTCTCTTTTGCTCGGGGTGACTTCTGGTCCCGAACTTCCCCTTTCTCCTCTCTCCCAGTGACGAGGCCACGAATGTCCCAGGTATGTATGTATGTGTGTATGTATATATGGGGTGGTTTGTTGCGCTTCTCGGATTCACCAATCATTCTCGGATGAACAAGGGTCTTTGCGGGCGGGTGGCCCGAGCGGGTTGGGGCGTTACGGTTCGCTGAGCCAGCCCTCGTCCAAGCCCTCGAGTCCCTTTCTTGGAGATGAAAGACACGCAAACAGGAAATCACTACCTGATCCTCGCGGCCACTCGGTTGGTCATGTACTTGCCAATGTTGCCGATGAACAAGCACGCGATGATGGCGCACCCGCCAAACGCAATACTCGTCAGCCACACGTACTTGAGCGACTCGGCGTACGCCCAGCGGGACCCGACCGCACCCGCCTCGATAATGTCCGGAGTGACACCGGGGACGGTCGTCAGATTGGTGGGCGCGGTCAGGTACGTCTCGACGAAACGGGGAGCGGACGAGAGCGGGAGTCCCGCGGCGACGGCGTACTCTGCAATGTACGCGGGGAGCTTCGGCGTGAGTTTGTTGATGAAGACATTATAGTAGATGGCGTAGCCGATACTTCCACCCACGGCGCGGATGGTGAGCGACAGGGCGACACAAGTAGCGATCGACGTGTCCGGTGTCACCGTGATGGCGACGGTGGCTGCCGGGACAAGAACAGCGCCGACCCCGAAGCCAGTGATTGTCCCTACACCAATAGCGAGACCCTCCCGGTCGGGAGTGATCGCAGCAATAGCGCCGCCAAAGGCCGCTATATCACCATGCTTAGTTTGAGGCAACGATGCGCAGGCAATCGAGAAGCGAGGGAGGTGGGAGAGTTATGTGGTGATGGGGAAAAGGATCCTTTCTAGGAAATGGGTCAACAAGACGTACTCATAATAATGCAGCCAGCGAGGAGGATCTCTCGGTTGTGGCCCTTGAACCAAGACAAGGCGGCATTCGCAAAGACCGCACCAAAGGTGGTGGACAACCCGGGACCGAGACCCCGAAGTCCAACATGGACCGGATCAGGTTCAAACACCGTGCTGTACACCAAGGGGAAGAAGTTCAGCATGGCGTAGAAGTTCATGCCTGTGGTAGAAAGAGACACCATGTCAGCAAAACATTTTTCACTCCTTTGATTCAAGGCCCAGTTGAGCCAGAATAGGGAGAGTCTTCTTTACCTGCAACAAAGGCGATTCCATAAGCCATTCCAACAATTCTTTGTCCTGAAAACATCTCATGCGGCACCATAGGTTCTTTGCAATACTTCCATTCCCAAATGACAAAGGCGGCGATGAGAAGAATGCCAATGATGAGTTGTACAATGACATATGCGCTCTTCCAAGGGTGAGAGTAACCTCCGGCTTGAAGAGCGACCAGCCTGCATCCCTCGGTCAGCTATGAGACGACGTGAGGCAGAACAAAAGGGAACCTTACACAAGCGTCAAACCCATAATAGACAAAGCTCCACCAATGTAGTCAATCTTCTTCAGAATGGCTTTGGCTTCCAACCCTTTTGCTCGGGTCTGGGACTCTGGAAAGTAGACAGCGAAGATGAGAACCCACCAGACACCGTTCCAGATCCTATACATCTGTCAGTCCTGCCGGCCACCGATGTCGCAGGACCAGGACCAAACTTACACGCAAATCCACATGCCCCATCTCCAAGTGTGGTAGGTCGATAAGAGCTGAGCGAATAGCAGATATGGTGTAAATGGGAGCACAAAAGCTGTAACGAGAGCCAGGTAAATGCCTCGTTTGTTGACAGGCACTAGCTCAGAAGTCCTATAGACGTCTTTGTCAGTTCCCCTCGGATCGATTTCTCGTCACTGCATCCTTCCTTACCCGGCAAGCGCAGTCAATTCACCAATCGCGGCACCACCGCCAGCAAAGGCCATACCGACAACCCCTTGTCCGAACTTATGAGCAGTACCGATAATGACACAGCCCATCATCAGCGAGACGCCACCAACAAGGGTGATGAGGCGACGGCCAAGAAGATCTTGGAGATAGCCGCAGAAAGGAGCAACCGCAGAGAGGGTGAGTGCATAGGCCACGGTTAACCAGGCAGATGCCTCCGCTCCACCAATGTCTGCTGCGATGAATGTGAGGGAACCGCCCACAAAGTAGAGGGGAATCTGAGAGCCAACGTAGAGCCCGCTGAGAGCAACCGTGGCAACGAAGGTCTTCAGCGTCCATACTGTCTGGGTTTGATACTCCGGTGTCGTCTCGCTGTTGGGTTCAGAGGAAGATCCACTTGCAGTAGCCAATTCCTCTTTGGCATGCGCCTTCTCGTCTTCGGTGTGAGCGTGCTCTCGATGCTCTAGCATCTCTTTATCATGGCGGAGCTCAGCATCATGTTGCACCTCATGTTCGAGCTTGTCGGTGTTCTCCGGCGGTACGACACTCATGATGGCGTTCTCAATGGAAACCAGCAAACTTGAAGGGTTGTATTTTCAGGAGGAGAGAAGCTAGCGGTGCTTTGAGAAGGACAGACTGCGATGCCATCTCGATGTCGATTAAATACCCCTGCTGTCAAAGTGCCACGGCTCCCCGCTTCTTGGGTCGAGGCCCTACGATCCCAGCCCTTTGTAGTGCCGGATGCCTCGGTCATGATGTGAGCCAGCAAGGGTTGCAATCTGGGGTTTTGAACAAGGGATTCAGTTGGTCATAATGCTGGAGGACGCGAATGTGATCTGGAGGCCATTCGACTTGGTGCAGGGATAAATGTAGCAACCCCTTTGTCATTGGCTGGTTGGGGATATGCTCCTGGCAATCATGCGCAGGCGAGTCAGCGGTTCTGAGTAGGAGCATGCGAATCGATCTCTTGAGTCCCCAGCTTGTCGTCCTATTCGCCCCACTTCTCAAATAAACTTGAGACTCCGGATTATTCCCCGCAAATTACCACGACTCTGCGGGACGTCACCAACGTGGAGCGCCCGCGAGCCAAGTAGGGGTTGTTGATCATGCCACATTGAGAAGTGTGCAATAAGGCGTCCTTGACGTCGGAATTGCTTGCAAGGGATATCCCAACCACCTCGGTTAACTGTTTTGGATCTGGTCTGCTTCGAGTCATCAAGCGAGGGTTTAACCTCAGCAATTTGGATCCCTGGCATTGGCACTGTGGTTACCCTCCCAACGGGAATGAAATCATTGCCTCGTACCGTCGAGTAACCCGTAGTAGTGGCGGGATTCTTTCCCATGGCCAACCGCAGGGAAAATACCCAGGACGTTCTTTCAGAGCATTGACATTCACGCTGAGTGAGCTCGCGAATGTCGCCCACCTGGGGATGTCTTGCCAAGATGTTGTGATGCTGAGAATCAGACAAGTATCCAGAGGGCCAGCGGAAGATGGCCGCGTAGGCACTCTTGTATGGTAGATGGATAGACCGACATGTCGCGGCATTCGTCAAACGTGACTTTTGCAAGAGAAGCTTGGGAACACGGAATTCACCCTTTCAGACAATGGCTTGCCCTGGAAAGACTAGTCGTTGCGAAACAAAAGCTTTTCGTAAACCTCGGTCGACCGAAGATCATATGGTGGAAAACCGCGGTGAGTGCTGTCCTTTGCCCAAGCTTCATACAAGCCCTGCTTCCTCTGATCAAGATTGAGGATCGCTTTTGTGTAATGAAGGAAGGAGAGAGGTCTCGACAGCTTCCTTGTACTTTTTCCGACCGATAATAGGCATCATCGTGGAGCATGGATCGTTGTTCATCCGACGCTATTCTGCTTTGGGCGGCATTTCCCGATCTGGAATCCCAGGAAGATCCATCGATGTTGCTCCCGCCGGTGCTGTACGTCTACCAATTTTGTCCACAAGGCTCGGTGAGTTTGAAACACAATTCGAATGTAGGCAGCACCATTCCCGCTGTTGTGAGTGGTGAAGGGTGAAACCTCCAGCCCCTGAAGAGGGCGCCGACCCCGAAGAAACATGCTCAGTCTCGAAGTGAATGCTCCGTTGACTATGGGAAGATGCATTATAAGAACACGCATGGCCCTTTGGATTTTGGGAAGAACTTCATTGCGAGAAGAATAACAACAACAACCAGAGTTCGAATTTTCCCAGCAGAAACAACATGGCCGCATCCTTTGATCTGTCCAGGCCCAACCGCACCATCCACGCCGGGGTCATTCTTCTGAACGCGTACGGTTGTCAAGCCTACAGAACTATCAGGTTAAACTAACTTCGGGCAACAGGGAAACGGAGATTCTCGATGTGGCCCCCATTGACCTGTTGAATTCAGTGTCCAAGAACTTTGTTCAGACCCTGGAAGAGTTTGCTCTGCCCGGTATGGCTGCCCAAGCTCTCGACATTGATTTCCATTGGGTCAATCAGACGGGGAAAACTGCCAAATTGACAGGCGGTGTCTCGGTCCAACCAACCGTGAGTCTGGCTCCGGATCTTCCTTCGGATCATGCTCCTCATCGTTGACGCAGGATGACTTCTCGACATGCCCACCACTTGACATAGTCCTGATGGGAGCTCATTTGAACGGGTATAATCCCAATGAGGTGGAGCTCGACTTCGTGCGCAAAAGCTACGAGAACTGCTCGGCCTTCATCACCATCTGCGGCGGATTGCAGGCTGCATTCCAGGCGGGACTGTTCAAAAACAAGACTGTGGCCGCACCTCGATTCATGTTGGAACAGCTTCGCGCGACGGGCCCTGAAACTACTTGGGTGGAGGAGCGCTGGCACAGGGACGGCAAGCTCTGGACAAGCGGCGCTTTGCTCAATGGGCTGGACCTCATGCGGGCGTTTGGGACAGAGTATTGGGGCGGTGAGGGCAGCTTGATCCAGTTCGCGTTCGACAGCGGCCACTGGCCGTTGAGAGACGTTCAATATGGAGATGCTCCAACGAAATATTGAGCGTGAGTGGCTCGTGCTTGTCGGGGAGCGAGAATGAGGAGGGGCCAAGGGCCGCAGGACAGAAATGTGCTTAACTGTGTGTCGCGTCCTAATGATTCGCCGTAGCGTTAGTACGGTGGATGTCTTCCTCATAAGCCGCAAGTGGATTTCCAGACGCAGGCAAATTGATCCGCAGGAAGAACCTCCGTCTGATCCGATACCAATTCATCTGCCTGTATCGAGTACCTTTCCACTCTAAACTTACGAAGCACATTGGCCTCTGCATCTAATTTAGTGGTTTTTTGAACTAGAAAGTACGTACGGTTCGACTACACCCGGACCATTGGATCTTACCTTAGAGCCCCCAGGCGGAGCTATGTCTGAAGATCTGGAACGAGGAAAGTAGTGCCGCCTCGTGTTTCCAGGACCTCTAAGAAGCTGGCCATTATGGCAGACAGCCAATGCGGGGAGGACACCTCCGAACGTCTCCTCAGCCAGCACAAGGAAGCCGTGTCGCGCGTGTCTGACCGAATCGCCAGCTTTCATACTCGCAAAATTCCCTTTCGCATCTTCCATGGCAATACCAACTCGACTCGCCTCAGCGACCGTACAAGAGACGCTACCGTCGACATCTCCACTCTTGACCATGTCATCTCGGTCTCGCCTTCGAAGCGTACTTGCCTCGTTGAGCCCAACGTCCCTATGGATCGTCTGGTCGCTGCGACATTGGAGCACGGCTTAGTTCCCCCAGTCGTCCCAGAGTTTCCAGGCATCACGGTTGGAGGTGGATTTGCGGGGACGGCAGGCGAGAGTAGCAGCTTCAAGTATGGCTTTTTCGACGGGACCGTGATCTGGTTCGAGGTGGTCCTCGCGGACGGAGAAGTCGTGACGGCCTCGGACACGGAAAGGGCAGACTTGTTCCATGGGATGGCCGGCACATTCGGCTCAATGGGTGTCATTACCTTGTTCGAGATGCGATTGATCCCGGCCAAGGAGTTTGTCGAACTGTCGTATATCCGGATCGGCGACATTGAACAAGCACAGGAGGTGATCAAGCAGGTCTCAAAGGAGGAAGGTGTGGATTTCGTGGACGGGATAATGTTCGCTCCAGAGAAGGGCGTCGTGCTCGCAGGCCGCCTCGCCGACCGGGGCGAAAAGAACCAGGACCTCCCGATTGTGACATTCACCAAGCCGTGGGATCAGTGGTTTTACCTCCACGCAGAAGAAAGAATGGACAGTACCGAGATCACAGGCCCTGGATCTCAATCACCGTCATCACCGTCCCATCCCCGCGACTTGATCCCCTTGAGAGACTACCTCTTCCGTTACGACCGCGGCGCCTTCTGGACCGGCCGCTTCGCATATAAATACTTCTGCATCCCCTTCACACGCACGATCCGCTGGCTGGCGGACTACTTTATGCACACCCGCATCATGTACCACGCCTTACACCGCTCCGGCCTGTACCAGCGCTTCATCATTCAGGACATGGCTCTTCCCAACAAAAACATTCCTGAGTTCTCTCACTGGCTAGACCGGGAGTTGCCGCACATCTATCCGCGCTGGCTGTGTCCCTTGAGGCATGGGACCAGCGTGAGCATGAACCCCCATCTACGGAACCGGCCTGTGTCATCCACGGAGCCCAGCCCGACCTCGACCTCGAAGACAGCGTCAACCCCCGAACCACGGAGCAGTGAAGGCGACGATGATAGAAGTAGTGATGACTTTGACAACGCGCTCCTCAACATCGGCGTCTGGGGCGAAACACCCCCAAACACGCTCCACGTCACGATCAACCGACTCATCGAGAGCAAACTCAAATCCTTGGGCGGGATGAAGTGGCTGTACGCCCAGACATTCTACACCGAGGACGAATTCTAGTCCATCTACGACCGGAAGTGGTACGACGGCATGAGGAAGAAGTACCGCGCCGACGGCTACATACCGAGCGTGTACGAAAAGGTTCGGACGAGGGACATGTTCGAGGTCGACGGTGATGGCAAGGTGCTCCGCGACGCGGCCCTGCCGGTGGAAAAGGGCGTGTGGAGCATTTGGCCCATTGCGGGCGTCTACGGGGTCTTGAGCGCCTTGAAAGGTGGCGATTATCTGCGCAAGCGCTAGCAAAAGGGTGATTCCTCCACGCGCCTTCTTCGGGCGGTGTTGGCTGGATTTTGATATATCAAGACGTTGCGAGTCGTTGTATAATGACCGACCAAGTCAAACATATATAGAGGTACAATGGAATTTAGAAGTATAGATAGACAAGTTGGTTAGGTTGGTTGGTTGGCATGTTGGCTAGTCAGTCGGCTGTATCCACCGAGTCCTCTCCCTCCAATGAGCATGTACATACTCGGTATATCCAGAATCTTGAATCTCACGGCATTCATTTTCTTCAGACGTTCCTGGGGGGGCAGAGTCTTCTGAGATGTCTATTATGGTGAACACGTACGCAAGGGTCATTCATGGCATACATACATACATTCTAATACTGCATAGGAAAAAAAACTCTCTGTTACGCCCTCCATCTGAACTCGTCCTCTCTTAAGCAGGTCTCATGATTTGTCCACTTCTCCTTGTAACCCGAGAGTCTTCCCGACATCTATCAAATCTTCCAAGTGCCTCTCTTCGAAAATGTGTAAAGTCTACACGACCATCCGCGAGGGTACAGTTTTGGGACCCCTTGTAAAGACGGTCTTACCTTTTTTGGGGGACATCTTCCGGAGGTGCTGATAGTCCGCCAGGCGCGGGCGCGTGATGAATTGGAACAGAAGGAGCTCATTCGATGCAGCAGCCACGTCAATGTTGGCCCTGTACTGAACCCACCTACTAACTTTCAAAGGTGGTCACCACAGTGGTCGCCGCATAGGCAATACCAATGGCCAGCCTGTCAACCATTTTTAATTTACAGTTCCTACCTCTCTGTCAGTTATTGCTCCAGGTGAATTGGTTGGCTCTCGATGACAGATACATTCCATCCCTGTAACAAGTTGCCTTGCAACGAGGCTCTTGGAGATTGGCAGCAGTGCTGAAATATTGAATTGTTCGCGTGTGACCAGGATTGCCTTGTAGTTGGGGGCGGTCAATCCAGGATTGGCTGCTCGTTGGCCGCCAAGCTTTTAGGCACCATCCTCCCGCTTGTGGGTTTCACGGGTCGGCGGCTGAAGCAGATCGCTAGTTCGCAGCTTTCCAGAGCAGCCTACAACCACAACCACGCCTCTTCAGTTTCATGTGCTATATATGGTGGACTTGTCCTCCATTCCACCCATACCAATAGTCATGGCAGCCAGTGTTGCGAAACAGGACACAGGCGGCGCGCAAGTATATCACGACAAAGCTGGCCCCGATCAGGTCAGCCTTGATCGTTCAAGTCGTAAGAAACACCTTCCATCATCTGGATTTCAACCTAACTGAATGACCATAGGTAAACGGCACTATTCAACCCGAGACAAGGGCGAGGAGAAGAACGCGACTGATCACCGGAGAAAGAGCCGAAGAATACAGAAAAGCCGTCAGTTGCTCTCGCCCTATACAAGTTCCCTACCTCGTTACCGCGTCACTGACCGCGTTGCAGCCCACCACCTGCGCCCGCAAAACTCGAATGTGAATGCCAAAATCTCCCGCAAGAGCCCGCGATCACAAAAGACACAAGCTACGAACCCCGAACGAACCGCAAGCGGAGGACAGAGCCGGCAATCACAGAGACCAGCAGTGATAAAAAGGAAGCGCTCGCACGACGCTCAAGCTGGGGCTGGAGCCGAAGTAGACGACTCCCAACACGAGCGCCTTGCAGAACAGCTGAGGAGAAGTACTCCTCCCCACCTCGAGCACTCTGAGGAGGACTTACAAGAAGGCTTGGAACCTGAAGTGGAAGCTGGTAAGCGAGAAGGCGTACGGCCTTCAATACACACCTCAAGACTACCCCCTCCCAAAGATCAGCTCTCTGAGAACAACTTACGCATATTCAATGCGGAAATGAACCCCGCGGCCGACAATGCTCCAGTTCTCAAACGGACCTCGTCACGGCGTTCCATAGTTCCATCGGAAGCGGGCACAGTCCGATCCCAGCGCTCTTCTAACACCAACGCCTTCTACCGCCACAAAAATCTTCAAGCTGTCCAGATCCATATCCACGCTAAGCCGCCTGACTTCATCGAAGCCGCGGCCAACCGCATTGTTAACGCCAAAGTCTCCAAGCAGCGCCGGGCTGAACTCCGCGTCATAGCTCAAGAACTCAGTAATAGCTGCCTCAAAAATGTCAAGGCTCAGTCTGGCGAGGATGACTTTATAAATCCACTCCATACTGCCCTCAAGGCTTTGGGTCTCAAGAACCTCTGTATCCATGAAAAAGCCGAGTGGCGAGAGGAGCTTCAGCCTACAGCCCCGCAGCAGTTGCATTTCAGCTCGAGCTTCATGGCCGGTGTCCAGCAACTAGAGGTTGACGACGACTCAGCCCGTCCGATAAAACGCCAGCAGCAGTCCGCTGGCGAGTATCTGTCTCCCGAATCATTTCGGACCAACGCACCCACCACTCCGCCAGCCAATAATTCTCAGGAGTCGAACGCGATGCCTCCTCCGGCCCCACCTGTCCTGGAGAAAGAGGGAGATCGCTACCCGATTAAAAATCCCCGGCCCGACCTCTCAATAGGCACTGATCTCACGGCTTTCATCTCTGCCCTCTCGGCGCAGAAACTCAACAGGGCCAAGGCTACGGCATTCATCCACTGGCTCCAGAATGAGATGGTGCAGCGCGTGCCAAAGGGGCCGCTTGAACCGATGCTACTCTTAGTACCGGCGCCACGCGCTTTAGATCTCGCCTTCCCGTTTGCTGTCGTTGAAGGTAAGGCTTACTCGACCGGTAAACAAATTTTCGAGGCAGAGAACCAAGCTGCGGTTTCCGGGGCTTGCGCGCTCAAGATACAGCTTGATCTAGATAGCCTGGTTAACAGCGGAACGATGAGATCTGGTGCTCTGCCTAAATCCTCGAATGCCCATCCCCCGCTCTTCTTCTCCATCACCACCCAAGGTCCCATCCACGAGCTCTGGTACCACTGGACTGTCTATGAAGACGGTGTACGCAAGTTCGAATCGAAGCTTCTGGATAGTTGTAATGCACTGGTGCTAGAGCGAGGGGAGGACTTTGTGGTCAAGCTCAATAATGTGGGCAGTTGGGGTACAGGACCATTTGTGAAGTCACTTGTAGAGCGTCTAGGACAGGTAGCAGTGAAGGCAGAGACTTAATCATCAATGAGATGGTGAATCGAACAGTCGCGTGGGACACGGCGAAACAGAGGATTCGACGTCGGAATCTCGACACGAGTACTTTCCATTTCCGTCCTTGGACCTGAGCGTGGCCCTGAGCCTCGCCGCTTCAACTCTCAGGCTCTATGTCAAGCTTCGCTGTGGGTGCCAAACCTTGATCTGCCGAGGCTCGAATGTATTCCCCCTTTCCGCTTTTGGAGTCCTTACATCTCTCATTGTCTACACCATGCTTTGCGCGGATGAAGGCCCTGAAAAGCAATGCTGTCGCGATGCCTGACGATGGGGTTAGCTCTGTATTGAGAAGCGTTACGGAATGGCTCAACGACAGCTCATGTACTCCCCCCATCAGTGAACCTTTAACGGCCATCGAGAACTGTCAGTCGCGTTTTGTGAATGCGGACATCCAAGGAGGGCAACTGTCGAAGAAGCGCAAGAGAGCGCCAAGCCCTATGAGCACAATGAGCGATCCTATTATGCGATCTCCTCCGAAATCCAGCAGTAGCACGACTTCCAGTCGAAGTCGCAGCCCAGTGAAACGGTGAGCAGACTTCGACATAATGTACCCCCGAATCACGTTCAATGAGGACAAAAGGACGTTCACGGACGATGATTGAGAACTCCCTGACAGTATAAGGAAGGCTGCAGTAAATATACCCAAGGAGATGCGCGAGGATTTAGAAAGACATCCTGTTGCCAGACGGAACTTGAATCAAGTTACGTGGCAAGAGGATCATCGCCATTCGCTTTCCGAGATCCGAGACTTCTGGATAAAGGTCCAGAGCATTGAAGAAGCGGCAACTATATGTTCAAAAGAGGGTCGGTCGGAGGACTCTTGGAGTGATGATGTTGTCCTCGAAATCATTAGACTGGCTCTCAGCTGGTCGGGCTTGAGAAACAAAGTGATGTTGGCAAATCTGTAAGTGGTCTCCCGGTGCGCATAGTTATGCTGATGTTTGTAGTAAATCCGTCGGTGTGGACCAGCCAGCCCTCCTCCCTATGCGTAATCTCCACCGCGTCGTCCCCAACAAGATTGACTATGGTTTGCGTCTGCAACCTGATGCTGAGGAGGAAGTTATGATCGAGAACGTCCTTCGGAATATGAGCGACGAACTGCCTAGCATCAGTCAGTCAGCTGTTCCTATGCTTCGCAAACGAGCCCTCTTCTACAACCTGGAAATCAAAAAGCCCTATGGAAACAAAGATCCCGTACCGCAACTTGGGGTGTGGTCGATAGCAGGATTGACAAAATTGTCGAACCTGGCGCGAGAGTCCCACAAGAAGATCGGAGAAACTACGATGCTCGAGGATCCGGAGGTGCCTGTTCTTCCGAGCTGGAGCGTGGAAGGCCACCGGTGGCAATTCTACCTTGGAAGGAGATGCTCATCTGCGGAAACAGTAAGTTGTCTACTCGACTTTAACCCCAGAGCTGACTCTCTTAGGTCATTCAAGGACCTTTTTGGAATTACGATACCAGTTCTGTTGTCGAGATTATATTTATTGTGAATACCTTGTGCGAAATACATCGCTGGGGTAACACGACCTTTCGGAAATGGCTGCTGACCGTTATATCTGGACTGCAAACAGATTGATATTGATGTCTTCCCCCCCCCCCCCCCCGGAGGGGGGGGAGGGGGAAAGTCTCTTGTTTCTAGTAGTTTTCGAGTCGCAGTCATCTTCTGGAGCATTCAAACATTGGGTCACAAATTGGGTCAGACTGCGAATTGTATATCTCTCAGCACCACGAACGCCGAACGGAACGCCAGCTACCATACAGTGATTACATTTCTTCCTTCTGGGTTTGCGAGCCGCATATTCGGGTCATCTTCAAATCTACTCGTGATCAGGTGTTTCAGCTAAAAAACTTCCCCTCGCAATGTTTCGCTATCTCCAACGTAGATATAGCACTTTGGAATCGACCTTGGCCCAGATATACACTGCCCAAGTCTCACGGGTTCTGCTGATGAACTCCGTCCAAATACATCATGGTTACCACCACACAGGGCAACCGTTGGTTAAAGGCAGTACCGGGTGACGAGAGACCTCTTACGCAGACACCACCTGATGGTCTTGGTGCTGTAGCCGGAATTGCCATTCATTCTCTCCTTCCGCCCCATGGATATTGTTTTTGTGAAATCTTCCAGACTTAGCGGACCGTATGGGTTGAAATACCTAGCGACCGTATTAGGGGCACCAGGTCGAGAAGCTGGGAGAATGAACCTACGACTGTTGTTCCAGGGATTGTACGTGACTTTCCAAGACTGTAAGGGGAACTTCGTCCACACATCCTACTGGGTTTCGGATGTTTGAAGTCACACAATATCCAGATAGTCTTACGCTCATCGCAGTCGAAGTCGGAAGGCAAGATGAATGAAAGTCAGTTTCGTAAGTGAAAATCCTTTTTGCAGGTGAAGTATCGCAAAAAGTCATTTGCGACTTTCTTTCGCTCGCTCAACTGGCGTTCCAGGTACAGTAAGAGGTCTGATATCGAAGCGCAACGCGAAGTTTCTCTTTCGAATTTTGAATATCTGCCATTACGGCTGAACTGAGTGTTTGTTCAACAATGTTTCGGAGAACATTCAGGTGGTTGGTTGGGCCCCCGGTTGGAATTAAAAAAGTAATAGTTCTCACGGCCTCGATCTTTTTTTTGGCGAAGTCATCGCCATGCAAACTTTACAGGCTGACCTTTTCATGTTCCGAGCTCAGAACGAAACAGCCAGCCAACGTTGGCAAAAAGGCTAGTTTTGGATTAATACGTGGCGAGAAGAGAGCAACGGGTATGGTTAAGCATATTGGATGCTTTGAATCGTGCCCACTTCTGTGGCACTTTACACCGTGTAGTGAAACTCAATTGACCAATGCGCTCGCTCTACCTAGAATAGCGCAAGTGATTTCACCTTGTCTCGACGCATCCCTTCAGTGCTCTCTATTCCAGCTACCTCAAGAACGCGCCCAAGGCTCCGAGACGCTACACAGAAGCCATTCTTGACCCCATCTCCGACGATCAGCGATGGTATCTCTCGACAATGATCAGATGGATGTGGTAGAAGAAGCCAGAGAAGGAGGCATCGAAGGTTGATGGAAGAGCTAGCCCACTTTCTATAGTTTTCCCCGCAACCCGCCACATTGGTCGCGGCGCCGCTAAGTAATTTACACTACTGCCAAGACGCTCATGTAATTAGCCAGCTAGTACTAATCTGGGAGTTCCCGCTAGGGTGCTCTTGCCAGAACTCGCGGTGGCTCGCCAGTTGCTCGATGCAATTGCCTCAGCCTTATTTACCATCATCTGTCTAATTGAATTTCTCGTTGCAGAGAAGCCCAATACCAAGGACCAGCCTGTCCTGGAGCTTCGCGTCGGGCGCAGGGCACGTCGCAGGTGTCCCTGTCGTTATTCGTGAGTTCGCCGAGGGCTTCTTGCGGTTCGTCCTTGCAGGTGGTGGGAGCGATGTATAGGTCCAACGCTCTGGGTGAGGCGATAACGCGCTCTATGTTGTCAGTGTCGTTCCTCAAGCTGGTGTGCATGGCTGCATGAGATTCAAACGGCATTGCTGCTGCCGAAACTAAACATGGCTGCTGCTCGTATTTTCTCGATGAGTTTCTATCTTCTGATTGAAAGGAAATCAGCGCAACCAATACCAATGCCAATCGAACGATTCCACTAACGCAAGGACATTTCGCAAGCGCGATTTCTACCGCTTCTTCTCGAGATGCAGTCTACGATTGGTCGTGGCTTTCTCAAACAGTCAAGTTGCAGGACGAAGACTGGGAGGGTCACAGATGATCAACACCCAAGCCAGACGAAGTCGTCTTTGGCCCTCGATTCGGGTCAGTAAAGGCTGAGGAATCAGCAGCAGCGGCTCTCTCTCTCGGCCATGATGGTTGATCTGGACTCTTAGCTTGGGCACTCGCATTGTGCTTGCCAGGATGTTCAATGTGGAAGCTACGCCAGGCAGTGACAGTTGGAACACGGCCCTTTTTTATGCACCTCCGCTCGGCGGCGCGATAGAGCGGCAGGTCCCATCTCGTTTATCAAACGACTTGGAGAGCCAGCCAGCTGACCGAGGATGTGTTTTCAAAGGGGTTTCCACACGCTGGTCAAGGATTGGTGATAATGAGGCCGGGTGAAGGGGGCAAACATGGGGCAAATGCTTTCTGAAATGGTTCTTGGAAACGGACAAGCCACTCGGTGGCGTATAGTTACTGGGTGTTTGCTTCTTCTCCTTTTCAGCGTCAAGGAGGTCAAATAGATTCTTACCGTTTACCGTATTAATTCACGTTTTCTTTGTTCTTCCAGCTCCACTGGTGTCGGTACTTGATTTTCCTTGGAGTTTCTTTTCATTGTGAATACATCCAAGCAAGTTGCGAGTGAGTTTCTATGCATTACTGCACGAGACAGGTTCACATAATAATTAATTACGTTGTTATTCTCGCTCGAGCTAGAGCTAGAGCTAGAGCCAGGGGTGTGTATAGGGCGAGGCGATCCAGGTTTAGGTATAATGTATATTATACACGGAACTAACCAACAAGGAACAGAGGACGAGGAAAAAGTGACAAAGTATGTACATCGGCAATTGGACAGGTTGGTTGATTTGTGCTCTGTCGTCGCCCTTTCTGGGTCCTGGTCCTCGACATACCCCTCTAGCCCTGTACCACTGGGATGGTTGGGTCCATCGGGACAGCCGGGTTTGCAAAGGAAAAGATGATAGCTGCCGTAGCTGGCAGGTGGATGGGTTTGACGCAGGCGGGTGGGTGGAGAGAAAATGAGAGAAAGAGGGAGGATGCCGGCTTGAGATGTGGTGTTCAAGCTTGCTGATCGAATGGCCGGTCAGATGGCTGTATGGTTTGATTGATGGATAGATGGCGAGCGAGAACGGATAAGTGAATGAATATGTATGTGAGTGAGTATGTGAGTGAGGTAGGTAATGAGTATATGAGTAAGTAAGTACTTGATTTAAAGCGTTAACAAAGTTAAAGAGCGAATTAAACAGAAGTTTTAACAAATCACGGAAACCGATTCATCGTCCCCGGCGCAGCGGACATCTCAAACGGTCCGGCAGACCCGGCCACCACCGACGGGGTATGCTGCGCATCAATCTCCGACGGCGGCGGTGGACTCATGCGCGACTGGCGCTGCAAGAACGCCTCGATGCCGCCCACAACCCCTGGCGCCGCGGCCTGTGGTCCGGCGACGATGGCCGAGTTGGGGCTGCTCGCGCGCAGGGACATGCTTTCCATGGCACCCCCCGCCACGGACCCGTCGTGCATTTGGTACGGACCCCCGGCGACGGAGGAGGCGCCGAAAATGTCGTTGGACGGCGTGGACGGCCACGCAGGCGGTGATTGCGGGTGTGCCACTCCGGTGTTGGTCATCAGTTGCTGCGGCGGCGCTGGGTAGCCCTGTGGGAAGGTCTGCGAGTATGGCGAAGGGTACGCGCCGGGAGCGGGGATGGCGTTGCCAAAGGCGTCGGTCGCGGGCATCGTGCTCACTGACATGTGCTTCTGCGTCGGTGACATGTAGCCGTAGTTGTTGGCGGGCGGGATGTACGCTGGCGGACTGTTCATTGGGCCCATGGCCGGGGTAGACGGTCCTGGTAGGCTCGCGCCGCCGGCCTCTTCCTTGTTCTTTTTGGATTTGGACCTACGTCCGCACAAGTACAGTATGACCGCTGCCGCGATGACGGCGGCTGCTCCTCCTTGTCGCGAGTTAGCATCCATCACCCAACAGGGCTGCTCCCACCAGGACTTGTGAGTGACTTACCGACTGCGATGCCTGCAATGGCACCTGTTGAAAGGCCCGAATGGCCTGATCCGCTAGCTGCCGGGGTTGTGGTCGCTCCAGCAGTTGATGCCGACGTCGAAGACGCAGTAGAAGTGGTAACTGTCGATGTGGCGGTGGCCGTAGCCGTGGAGGTAGAAGTGGTGGCAAACGGATCCTCTTCATCGGGCCAATTCTCCCCAGGTAGCAACATGAAGGAAGAGTCGGCCGCATACTGCTTCTGGGCTTGGATAGACGTGCTGGAATTGGGGTTGATGACGCCGACCATCTGGTATCCAATACATGAGTTGGGAGCACCGCAGTAGTAGAAGATGGGTTCGGTGTCGTTGATGAGCACCGTCCATTTCGGCGGATCGCTGAGAATAGCGTCGACGGGGTGGAAGCCAGAATAGAACCCGACTTTGTCCACGCCTTTACCATTAATTCGCAGTCAGCTCATCGCCTTTTGAGGGTTGAGTCGCTTGTATATCCCTTACCTGTCAACTCATAAGGTATACATGGGTACATGTATTCTGCCCGGACCACCGAGTGGTTCAAGGGATAGAAGTCGAATTCTTTGACGACAGTATCAGCGACCACACACATACAGACTCGATTTCCTCAAGAACATACCAACATAATTTCCAGGAGAAACTTGCACCACATCTGGGATAAAAGTATGCCCTCCATTCCCAACGGCAATCGTCACCGTGATCGGCTGGGTGCTTGTGCTCGTAGGAGAGGTAGTTTCAGTGCTGAGGAAATCCGTCACCGTGGAGGTAGTGTCTTGAGCCACCACACCCGACAGCAGGGCTGCGAGGACGAAGACTGGAATTCCCATGCTTGTAAAACTTGGATTGAGATAGCAAAGGCGGAGAGAGTTGCGAGAGTGATACAGAAGCACAAACTGTGATACAAAAAGTCAAAGGTAGGGGGACGGGCACCTGAAATCTCTGACCGTCGCGGCGTCGACAAGCCGTGGCAGCTTCTCTAGACCAGGACAGTAGCAGCTGCGATAGGCATGAGAACCCTCACCTCCTCGTATTGAAGACAGTCCACGCTCCAAATTAATGCCAATGCGGCTGGACCACCGCGTCAAGACTTCCATGTCGGCGGTGCTAGCTGTCTCGAGGCGATTGCCACAGATTGCTCTCGTATTTCCATTCCACCATCCACCGGTTGGGTGTCGCATGGTTTAGGGCTGAAAGCCGGAGCAGCCTGGAATGGTCTAGGATACCGCAAGAAAACATGGATTGGTAGAATAGGCCGTGGCTAACCTTTGGAGGCTCTTGGCTCGTTATTGACTTCTCATCGGGTACGCGACAAAAGTCCTCTCTCTGTCTTCTCAAGGATACCCCCGGGGAGTGGCAGGGCTGGACAGAACACGAAGGAAAAGTCTTGTTTTGTTAGAAAAGACAGAATTCCCTCGCGGCCATGACCACAAAGCATCCAATGATCTGGACCGAATTGGGGCCAGACAAACCAAAGTCGCTTAGCGAGCAAGAAATCAGCCATGCCATCTTGGCCGCCAGCAGTTTGTTTGTCTCAGCCCTCGGGATCCTTGGAAAGGAGTCTGGCCCTTGCAACGGTAAATACTAAAGAGCCAAGGAAGGCTGAATACGAGGCGGGGGATCATATGAGTTGGCGGTTAGTGGGACAACCGCAGAGAGCCGCAAAGCTGTGATTGAGAGAGTGAAATGGGTTTCTGCAGGTACCTGGTAGGTATTCGTGTGAGATCAGCGTCCAGCATCTGCAGTTCTGGTGGTGTTCCATTGCTGTTGAAAGAGGGAAAAGGAGGGAAAAAGAAAACATTCAGATACAAAGACGAAGTTCAGCTGCCAAGGCGCTTTATTGAGTCTGTCCCGACCAAGTCAGACGCCACAGTGGCCAAACTCGGGTAAACTACAATGAAATCTTGGATTATTATTATTGACGAGATCTACTATTGGACCTGGTCAAGTTTAGGCCAGGGCGAGAGACGAGATCGTGGAGGATTTGTGGATTTTTGTGGGATAATACCAGTGCCTCTTCCAGTATAGATACATCTACACCAACTTGGCCATACAATAGATTGTGCCGAGTAAACACTAGCTTTAATGTGGACTTCGTACAGCTCCAGTGCTGCAACGTCGACCTGCTGACCAAGACTACCCGGTTAATGCTTCAGTCCTCTTGTCTGGAAGCACATAGCCTCCTCCGGCAAACAGTTTCCCAGCAGTCTGAAGAATCTCAGCCACGTCTTCACCAAGCCATGTAGATATCAGCTCCGATCGGGTTGCTTCCATCTCCCGCGTCAAACCTCCAGCGACCTGCAATGCTTCAACACCGATTCCATGACAAGAAGAGGTTAGGTCTTACCAGAACACATCTTCCACTCGCCGAAGCTAGACAAGTCTGTACGATTGCTTTTGCGACGTCGTCAATCGTGTTCGCCTTCAACCCCGAAGCTCTCCATTTATCCGAAAGCTTCGAGAATGTTGGAGTGGGAGTGTAGAAGGGGGCCACAGCATTCACTTTCACGCCGATGCTCCGTGCGGTCAGTTGAGATGCCCGAAGTAGACCAACCAGACCGTGTTTCGAGGCAACATAAGCTCCGACGCCGCTGCTGCCAAAGTATCCGGAGGTCGAGGTGATGAGAATGACGGATCCTCGACAAGAGTCCTGGGCACGTGGCTTATTTCGCTGCATGTGGTACAGCGCCAGCCTCAGTGCTGTGACCAAACTAGCATATCAGTCCCGGCAGCTGTAAAGTATCTCTAGGGGAATGTCCGAGTCGTGGCGAGCTAAAAGAGACTTACTGTTCAATGTCCCCTTCAGGTTGACATCCAAGACTCCGAATCCCTCGGTTGATTCCCGCAGTTCTCCCTCGCTGTCGACTGCTCCCAGATCAAACACGCTTTCGCTTTCCATTATCCCAGCATTGGCGATGACAATATCTACACGGCCAAAGTTCTCAATGGTTCGTTTGAAGAGAAGCTTCATTTCTCCCCAGCTGAGAATATTCGTGGGGAAGAACATGGCGGTTTCGGGGTGTGACAAGGAGGCAATGAGCTCTTCGGCATCCCCAGCCGTACACGCGAGGTCTGCTATTATCACATTTGATCCGAGGGAAGAGAAGAGTTTGACGGTCTGGGCTCCGATGCCATTGGAGCCCCCAGTAATGATAGCGACTGCGCCGACAAGATGTTGTACGGGGAGGAATCCATTGGCTGATGAGTCCATTGGCGCCTGCTGACAACGGACTTCACTAAAGCTGGGCGATTGAAGCTATCGAGGCACGAGTTGACGGGGAATTCATCCCTAGTACTTACGACAATATATCTAGGCCACGACGCCCTCAACGATCACGATCAGGCATTGCCATGACTGCTCTCAGTCCGAAGCTGAGAAATGTCCGAATCAATTGTCCGAGTGGGGAATTGTCGGCCGCACCCTGCAGTGTATTCGGTACATCGAGAGAATCATCTTGGAATGACTCTCGGGAAATCGTTACTCTAAGGAAATTCTGAGGGTGAGCATCATCACGTGAAAATGGCTCGTAGTAGATCACATGATATTGAAGCTGGTCTAGACCTTATTAGGACTAATTTGTCCATTAGTAGCAACTAGCGCGTTTTCCTCATCTCCTCCTCAACACCCTCTTCACCTTGATATCAGATGCCTATCTCCATTTCAAGCTCGAGGTAGATTCAGACTCTACGGATCATCGCTATATACTCATCCAATACCCGGTGACCGATGATCATCGCTTCACAACTCGACTTCCTCTAGCAAACGCCCATCGGCAAACCACACGTCCATTGCCTTGGCCATCGATTCAACATATGCCCGAGGAGAGTCGTCCGCCATGGCTTCAACCAAAAGATCTTGCGACATTTTGTTGGTGCTGTCCGCCCGCCCCATGACTCGCTCTTCATACTTGCGCACTGCTGATTCCAAGTCGCCCGGGTTTGCTTGAATGCAGAGAAAAAGGTCCAAGGCGTCTAGCATGGCAAGGTTTGCCCCTTCACCAGCAAACCACGACATGACATGCATCGAATCTCCGATCAGGGTCAGCCCTGGTTGAGTCTCGTAGTGCATTCCTAAGGGCATCCTGTACTGAGCCCTCGGGGTCCACTTGGGGTCCAAACAACGGATCACTTCTTTCAGGCGCTCATCCCAGTCGCTGTACACGCTCTCCAAGAGCATCGTCGTGGCTGTCTTGGGGTCTGTCCAGTCGATACCGCTTTCAGCCGCCCACTTCTCTGGCACCTTCAAACAGGGATAGACGCGAAGGCTCTCGTCTCCATTGCGCTGCATGAAAATGCCCTTGCCGTCACTGAGGGCGAACACAGTGCCTCGACCGATGAATTTGCCCAGCTCGGGGAATTTCTGGTCCAAATTCGAGATGCGACAGTCAATTACCGTGAGACCTGTGTACACTGGCTTTGTGCTCGTCAACAACGATCGCACCTTGGACCATGTTCCATCAGCACCAACAATCAGATCACCAATCGCAGAGGTACTGTGGTTCACGAAATGCACCTCATATCTTCCGTCGGCGTTTTGAACAATTTGAGAGACATGGTGATCCCACTTGAGATTTTGGGCGTCAACGGCGTCGATCAGGATCTTCCTCAACTCCGAACGGTCGATCTCAGGGCGACCCTCGGCGTCAGGAGGCGCCTGGTGAAAGAGCCAGTCTTTGGCGTGTTTGTCCATGAATCGGTAATCCTGGTCGTGATACCTGGCATATTTCTTGAAGCAAGCTTCGAGTCCAGCGACCTGGAGAGCACGTTGGCCTGAGTCAGGGTGCAGATCGAGTGATCCTCCCTGGAATCGAGAACTTATGTTCGGTTCGCGCTCATAAAGAGTGAAAGGGATGGAGTGGTGTTGGAGGAGCGCGGCAAGAGTGAGACCGGAGGGGCCCGCGCCGATGATGATGATATGCTTCCCGGACATGTTGGAGGTGATTTGACAGCTCCTCTTGTTTAATGCTCTCATTTAGCCAAAGCTTTGTGTCGACGGTTTGATGGAGACTGCAACTTTATATTACGAGGTTCTATGGGCGTCCGGGGGGATCCCGGTCGCTACGTCTCCGCAGCTTCGACTGAATCAATGTCGCCGATTGTCATATCTCAAACCGCCTCGTCCTCGGCCTCTGACTCGGCTGCCATAGGGGTGCATCGAGACCAGCGGATAAAGCCGAACATAACAGCTCGGACATTTCTCAGGCAACATGAAAATACCGATCATCGAAAAACCGAATAACGTCTAGCGAGCCCCTCGACCCATCGGCCGAGTCAAAAAACACCGTTGTATGTCACGGATTACACCATCTGACAATGCAACAAGTTCTATAGCTCTGCATCCTTCTCTGGCGAAACAAAGATTTGGTTGATCTACCGAGGGACTCCATCACCATTTTGAGGTTTGATGAATGGTCAAAACTCTCGAAAGTATGTCACCACTCAGCAACAGACGAGATGAATACGGCGGAGACTCTGTATTCACGATATTATTTTGTTTCTGTCCTAGCAAGAGGGACGTTCTATCATAGTTTGTCTCCGACTGCGCACCTGATAGCTCGAGCAACCTCTTCAGTGCAGCTAAGAGTGGGAAAGTGTCCTGCTTGACAAGTGTGCACATCAACCTTTTGACCGCTCTCCTTCTCGATGCGGTTGATTATAGACTCTTGAACCTGCTGTGGCACTGCCTGGTCTTCCTTGCACACCAGATACGACACCGGAATATTCTGATAGCCCGGATGAGTGAGTAGGCCTGTGAAGCTGACCGTCGAGTGAGGGAGCATTGTTTTGGCCAACTCAACTCCCTTTGCGAGAGGAAGATCCGAGAAATTCGTTCGAGCACAACCCACTGCTTCAGTCAACATGTAATCGCCCTGCAACACAGAGTTAGGAACACCTATCCTAGTCTGACAGATCGTGAGAAACTCACTTCGACTCTGATAAATTCAGGCATGTTGTCACCCATCTGCGTGGCAATCGAACCCCCCACTCCCGGCACTGGGGAGCTGATATAGAACAGCCTCACGATGCCTCCTTTCATTTGGGACAGTGAGCGTTCAGCCTTCGTCACACCCTTGGTACTCTCGGTCCCGCATATACCTCCATATGAATGCATGACCAACACAATTTCCTTGCCTTGGTCAGCGACCTTTGTCGCGAGAGACCTGATGTACTCTGCGTCATCGGCCATTGTGGCGGCTGGAAGTGGACTGCGATCGCCAACCGAATGGAGATCAATCACGACAGTCTCATAGCCGTGGCTGTTCAACGCTCTCACCAGTCCACTGTAGAGACTCGGTGGAGAGAATGAGGCAGGGACAACGACTATGACCGGCTTGGTGGTCTCTGGCTTGTTGGCGGTGGACATCTTGACTTGGGTTGAGATGTCGTTGCACCTATCTCGATGTGATCTGGCAACAGGGTCGTAACGACGCGGATGCAGAACTTCCTAAGCAACAGGGCGCTTCGGTTGTGGAAAGATGGTGGCGAATTCAAGTGGATGGCAAGACTTGAAAGAACAATCCTCTCATGATTACAACCGAGAATGCCGACTACATGTTTGGCTTGCTGGTGTCTCGGATTATTGACTGTTTGAGGCCGAGATGGCGGATTCAATCATCGGTCTCGACCTTCCGACCCGATCTCGGTCTTTTCAAAGTGCTCCAGCACCTTCCAAGGACATGAGGTCGGAGAATTGCGAATATTTCGACCGCCGAGCTGAGATCGGTCTTGACAGCAAGCAAGCTGGGCTCCTCTTGAGGCAGTGTTGTACCATACGAATCCACTGCAATTCCGCTTACGAAGCCAAAGAGCTCCCCGGATTGTTTAAAAGAAAGTCACAACCCCAGTTGTGAGTTTTCTCCGCAGAATCTCAACCCAGCTTTTCTCCACGTTGAACCTCTACCCCCCGATCCTCCTTCATTACCCTCGGTCGTCGTTTTCTGTTGCACCATGGCGTTATCCCAGGATGCGCCGTTCACAGCGTCAGTTCTTGCTTCCTTTGGTCCCGCTGCTCCCTCACGGGCCAAGGAGATCTTGATATCCCTGATCCGTCACCTCCATGCCGTGTGTCGGGAGGTCAATCTCACAACCGAAGAGCTGTATATCGGACTCGACGCTCTCAACCGCTCGGGACGCATGAGTGATGCGAAACGAAATGAGACACTGCTCATATCCGATTGTCTCGGCGTGGAAGCGTAAGTCACCTCACAGCATCATGGTGTGCGACCTCTCTTTTCAGGACGTTGTCTGACCCTCTCAAAAAGTCTAGTGGACGAAATCACGCACAGGATCCTCGCAGAAGAGGTGTCCACCAATTCTTGCATCCTGGGTCCTTTTTATCGAGCCGACGCGCCTGCCTATGAGAACGGCGACAGCATCATCCAGAAGTACCTCGGCGGCGAAGTTACTTGGTGTCACGGCCAGATTCTTGACGCCGATAGCGACAAGCCCATTGCTGGTAAGTCTATCAACCACGAAGGCCATCGCTATTTGGACGTTAGAACCAACGATATATCACACAGGCGCGAAACTGAACGTGTGGGAATGCGCGGCCAATGGATTATACGATCAACAGGATCCAGAGCAACCTGACGGAAACATGCGTGGGATATTCACTTCAGACCACGACGGTCGGTACGGCTTCTACTGCATCAAACCGGTTCCCTACCCGGTGCCGTATGACGGGCCTGCAGGCGATATTCTGAAGTTGATGGACCGTTCGCCGTTTCGGGCCGCACACATTCATTTCATGGTCGAGAGCGAATCCCGCCGTCGGCTCGTGACGCAAGTGTTCCCCAGCGACGATGCGTATCTTGATCGTGACTCTGTATACGCTGTCAAAGATGACCTGATTATTCGGTTCGAGCCTGCGGGCCCAGAGGCACGGAAGGGACGGGGTGTGCGCGGTCTGCAGAGCGATGTCAAGTGGGAGGTGAAATACGACTTTCGCATCAAGAAACGATGATATTGAGGAATTCTACTCCACAAAGTCATCGGTGACATTTAATAGTCTGTAGACAGGATTCTCCCAGACGAAGAAAAACCCCTGGTTAAAGCTGTTGTTTGTTAGTGGTGCAAATGAGGACCGCCCAGCCCAGCCTTGCTCCTGAACGCCACAGCCTTGTTCGTGGCTCGGCAATTTCGGACAATTGCAGGAAATGTCCGAATAAGCCGACAAGGTTTCGTTTCTCTACCACAACATCCTCCTGTTCTCTGAGTCACAATCGAACTGCAGCTGGAGAGCATGTGGTCGATCTGCGCGTGTCACCTTGAAGCACACGTTGTGTGAGAGAGACAAAGGATCCGGGCCTGGACTGAATCAATCTCCTCGACTTCCTCTCCAACGTTTCACGAACGACCCCTCCTCGTGCGATAGCGTTGGACTGAACTTTGCTCTACTACCTCTCCACGGGACCGTACTCCCCCCTGCATACCATTGACCATTATTCGATAGTTAAGCAAGCCTTCGGGGGTAGTGACACCTTGCCTCCAAAGATCATGGAACACCAAGGTGTCGCAGCATCAACAACACCGCCCTCGACGATAGTGACAAAGACCAAGAAACGGCGGCGTCCAGCTCTGGCTTGCATCGCCTGCCACCAACGAAAATTAAAATGCGGTCGTGAATTTCCCGCTTGCGAGAGATGCAGAAAGAGCGGGTACCCGGAAGGCTGTGTATACCGTGAAAACCACATGGTTTCGACTCCTGTTGGCGCAGGAAGACGCGCAGCTCGGGTGAGCACCGTCAGTGACTCGACTGCGTCGGATACCGCTACTCAAGAGAGTCTTTCGAGGCGTTTTCAAAACACGGAGACAAGGGCGACATTGCCCTCGCCTGCGCAGTCATCCCACGGACCAACGCGAGAAGTTGAGCAGGCTGAGCAGCTGCCGCTCCAAGAGATGACCATCTACAAAGGCGAGGATCTTCTCACCCGGTTCTACGGGCATAGTTACCACCGTAATTGGTATCAGCAGGTATCTCTTTCCTCACAAAATCACTCCTACTCGGCGAGCTCATGCTAAGCCCCTCTGTTTTGTCATTGTGCCAAACTAGTTTGATCAGCTTCGGCAGTACATCCAGCGGCTCAAAGCGCAGTGCCCCAGCATCAACATGCTGCGGGACGAGATTCAGGTCTTGAAAGCCAACGGGCACAAATTGGAAAGTCGACACAACGGCAGCGCCGCGGACGCACCATGTGATTCTGAAATCAAGAGTCTGATTCCTGCTCGAGAATTGGCTGATGGGTTGATCAACCTGTATATCACGCGGTTTGAAACCACGCACCGTGTTTTCCACATCCCGTCTTTCCTCGACGAGTACCACAAGTATTGGACCAACCCACAGACCACACGGACAATCTCTGCCATTCAGTTCTTGCTGGCAATGGCAACAGCGCTAAGTTGCCGCGAGATTCTGGACTGCGAACTCCGAATCGGAGCCAAAGATGTGATCTCGCGCGAAACCGCCACAGCATGGATCCAAATTTGCGAACCATGGGTGTCGAGGGAGACCACAAGAGCGCCCTCTCGCCATCTGACCATGTTGGCAACTCAATGTCTTCTGGTCATCGCAAAGCGAGCAAACCACATACAAGCAAACGAAGCCTGGACGACGACAGGCGCCCTGTTACGATCGGCCATGGCGGCCGGATACCACAGGGAACCGGACAGTCGAGCACACATTTCCATTTTCCACCGCGAGATGCGTCGTCGGCTCTGGGCCACCGTTGTCGAGCTCGATCTGCAAGCGACCATAGAACGAGGGATGCCGCCGAGCCTGCGCGAGGAGGATTTCACCTCCAAACCTCCATTGAATATCGACGACGACGCCATTTCCGAGTCGGTACAAGAGCCTCCAACTCCGAGTGCATTGGATGCTCTCACAGACACGTCTTTCCAGACACTGGCTTATCGCTCGATAGGTCCACGACTGCGGATTTGCGCCCTGGTCAACAACAGCCATCACAAACCGTTAGAGGTGCTCTTCGATGAGGGGACCTCCCTGGATGAGGACATCACCAAGGCACTCACAACGATTCCAACAGACTGGGCCAGCGCGCCTACGAGGCGTGATGACTGGAGCACCCAAAGACCCGTCTACATCAAGTACATGTTGGATATGTTACTCCGGCAGCAGCTGGTGTTGCTGCATATGCCCTTTGCGAATGCCAATCGCAGCACGCAGCCCAACCGATTCGGCCACTCACGTCGAGTGAGGCTCGAGGCCGCGACGAGTGTCCTCAATTCTTTCAGGTTGCTCGTGGACCAGGGTATTATACACCGCTCGGGCTGTGACAATCGCCAGTTTCACGCCGCCATGGCCATCTGCCACGAGCTGTACCTGCAGAATGGAGTTTTTGGTAAGTTTAAGTCAAGTCTCTCACTCCTAGCCGCGAGCCATGTTTCACACATATCCCTATACCCGCTGCTACATGGGTCTGATCGATCAACAACCCAGGATCCATTTTAACGCCCTTATCACCCGCCTCGAACCTCGCCGAATGCTACATCTCCATGGTGGAATCCGTGTTATCAATGACCGAGACCCGAATTACCGTCCTGGCCAAAGGCCTGAACGAATACTACCTCCTGACCATGGTCCTCGGCCTCACCAAATCGAGATTGTGGAGCGATCGCGCCCCGTCCTTTGCCGCAGAGGCGGTTGAGCGCATTACAAGGGTCATGATCATTCTGGGGTCTATGCGCAGGTCGAAGTCGACGTTGACAGCGACAGCGACAGCGACATCGTCGTGGCATGGACCCAACGCCGCTGCCGCCGCTGCTGCGGCTGGAAATGGGAATGTCCCCCAGTACGTGGTTCCCCCAGAGCAGATGCGGGAGTTCTTTGATGGTTCAGATGTGTCCCGACTGACGTGGTGTGAGGTACAGCAGTGCCCCTGCCCAGGGACTCGGGGCGGGAGTGGGAATAGGAGATGCTCCTATCACAACGTTCCCGGAAGTATCTTCTACGAGGAATGATGGAGACATGGAAATGGAATCGGAACTGGAAACGTTGGGTTCTCTCGTAAGTTTTGACGCACAAACATATTGTTTTTCAGTTGGTCAGCTCGTTGATTCAACATGTTATGTGTTTTTTGCTTGTGCTTCTGCTTGTACTCGTGCTTAATCTTCATTGTCATTCATCACTAATACAAAAGGTGCAAACCCAGATCTCAAACAATTTCGATCTTTTTCAAGACGACGTCGACCTGGAGGCGTTTGATCTCTGGGCCCATGAAGACACCCGCAGTTTCTTTGGGAATGGTGACTTTTGAGTATCCCCGCGACGGGGGGCGTAGTTTAGTTGAGAGGCCTAAATTGTGTCAGAAGCAGGGGATCAAAATGTTTTTTGATCTGTGTATATATAAATATAATAATAAATCCTGTTGACCACCCTAGTTTGACAAATTGGGAACTAGTTATTGACTTTTCACTGGTCTCCTCGTACCTCGTGTACTTCATACTTGGTAAGGTATATAGTGAGGCGAGGGCGAGGCAAAGGCCCGGCAGACCAGACTGGGAGACAGTACAAAGTCCTCTAGAAATCATTCGCTTTTCAAAAAAGGGGGGAGCAGGTGAGTGAGTGGCCCGGCCATGACCACACAACTACTCACGGGGCTCTCAGATCTCACAGAGTAGAATCAAGGATCTCCCAATGTACCTCGTACTGACTACTACTGAGCTGGCGGCCACCCGCCAATGGTGACTCTGAACAGCGCCGGATCCGCCTCAATCTCCGCCTTGCGGGCCACCAGCTCCTCGACGTCCCAATTCGCCCCGACAACTCTCCCGGACTTGAGAAAGTCGGCTTCGGGGCTGGCGAGCCAGACTGTGAAGTGCGCGGGGAGTTCGAGGCCTTCGGTGGAGGTTGAGGTGGAGGAGGAGTCACCGGGGTAGAGCGTAAAGACGCGGAGTTTGGGGTTCTCCTCTGCGAGGTACTCGTCGAGCTTTGCCGCCGCCAACTGGGAGGCCAGATACGCCGAGTTCTTGGGAGATTGCGAGGCTCCCAGGTGGCATGCGGCTGCGTTGACGTCAATGTACGTCGCGTTGGCACGGCACTTTGGGAGGAAGTGCTTTGCAAAGTGGGCGGAGAACTTGACATTGATCTCGAACGCTTGCCACCAGTCGTCTTCATCCGCTCCGGCGAGGGTGGTCGAGGTTGGCGAGTACCTCCACAGCAATGTCAGCATGATGCTTAATCTGCGAGAGAAAAGTGTATCACACAAAGGGGCCGGGAGCATACCCTACACAATTTACAAACACGTCCCAGGCCCCCAAATCAGATCGGATGGTATGTGCCGCAAGGCCGACTTCGTTGGCTTTGGAGAGGTTCGCGGGAGTCACCAGGACCGTCACGTCCGGGAACGATTGATTAATGGCCGTCTTTGTCTTCTCGAGAGTCTCCTCAGTTGTCCCTATCAGTGCGATTTTCCGGGCGCCGGCTTTTGCAAATGACAGGGCAACAGCGGCAACGAGGCTCTCTTCCCCCGCGCCCGCCACTACCACCGTCTTGTCCTTTGTCGACAATTCGGGTCTCGAGGGCTCAATGGCCGGGTAAGTGGTTTTGCGGTAGACCTTGGTGAAACAGGAGGATGCCATCACAGCCTTTTAGTTCGAAGCGAGTGACGAGTTCAAGGACTGTCTGTCAATGGACAAGCTCAGGACCGTGGAAATACTTCTCTCGAGTGTGTACTTGTGCCGATGGAGCGTGGGGAGAGCCGTCTTGTAATACAGCCTCCTCATACGCGAGGCTGCAGAACAAGTGGTCAATGGGCGACGGCGTCTACTTGAAGCCCAATGCGCACCCTAATGTCACTGAAAATTGCCCAGCTTTAGGACAGTTCCTTGTGGCCTTGACTCGGTAAGATCGCGAAAGTCGTGCTTTGCAACCTTCAATGTCACAGCTCGGGTGTGGACAGTGGGTGAATTTTGTCAGGAATATAGGAGATCAAGCAATTGTACCTACTGTAGGTCGTCCAGTCTTTGAGGACTTGTGTTATGTACTGAGTACCAAAAAAAAATGATGGAGAAAAGAGAAATTCACCCCTCAGCGGCTACCGTCGGTTATTGGGTCCCGCCGCCGCAGCGAATACAATACATCACCTCATTTTGTATGAAAAGTTCACCATAAATAGAAGAATGTTTCTTACAACGTCCCTGCAAGCAACGATCTCCCTACAAGTCCAATAATACCACCCCCCCATACACCCACCAAACACAAACAATGGCCTCAGTCACCGGCGACCGGCTGCTCGCCCAAGGCACGCACGAGTCCGCGCTCGAACTCATCGGGCAGACGCCCCTCGTACGCCTGAACAAGATCCCGCAGTCTCTCAGCATCGAAGCCACCGTCTATGCCAAATGCGAATATTTCAACGCCGGAGGAAGCGTCAAGGACAGGATCGCCCTGCGCATGATTGAAGAGGCCGAGAAGTCGGGCAGAATAAAACCGGGGGACACGCTCATCGAGCCTACCAGTGGCAACACGTAAGGGATGCACCAGGCAAAACTCGAGAGAACAATGACCTTTGCAGAACGGAGGAGCTAACAAGATGGACATCTGTGATTGCATAGTGGCATCGGACTCGCCCTCGTCGCCGCCCTCAAGGGCTACAAGACCATCATCACCCTCCCGGAAAAGATGTCTGCTGAGAAAGTCGCCGTCCTCAAAGCCCTCAACGCAACCATCATCCGCACCCCCACACAAGCCGCCTTTGACAGCCCTGAATCACACATCGGAGTCGCCAAACGGTTGGAGAAGGAGATACCCAATGCTCATATCTTGGACCAATACGGGAACCCCGACAATCCGCTGGCGCATGAGCTGGGAACGGCGGAAGAGGTCTGGCAGCAGACAAATGGTACTATAACGTGCATCGTCGCTGGGGCCGGCACAGGTGGCACAATCACAGGTCTCGCCCGCGGTCTACACAAGCACAACAAATCAATAAAGGTCGTCGCTGCAGATCCCCAGGGCTCGATCCTCGCTCTCCCGTCGTCCCTCAACGAAGAATACGCCAACCAACCTTACAAAGTCGAGGGGATCGGCTATGACTTCATCCCGGACGTCCTCGACCAGAGTGTCGTGGACAAATGGTACAAGACGGACGACAGAGATTCCTTCCACTATGCACGCCGTCTCATTTCCGAAGAAGGGTTGCTGGTCGGAGGGAGCTCTGGGTCTGCTATCGCAGCCACGATCCAAGCCGCAAGAGATCTCAAGCTTGGGAAGGACGATGTGATCGTGACAATCCTCCCAGATAGCATCCGCTCGTACTTGAGCAAATTCGTCGACGACGACTGGCTCGCCGCCAACAACCTCTTACCTCCAACACCACCGCCTGAACCATCATCACCCCAACTATCGAGAACCCAGAGCATCAAGCAAGACGACACATTCCACGGCGCTCGCGTACGCCACCTGCGCCTCAAACCCGTCCAGACGGTCACTTCGGACAGTCCCTGCTCCAGCGCCATCGAAGTCATGCGCGAAAAGGGCTTCGACCAACTCCCTGTCCTTGCTCCCAAGGGATCCAGGAGACTAGTCGGCCTCGTCACCTTGGGCAACCTGCTGTCACGGATAAGCCACGGGCGGGCCACGGGACAGAGCCCCGTGAGCGACGTCATGTTCGACTTCTCCAAAATCAGCGAGGTCACCGTCGACCACACGGATTTCTCCGAGCTGATGAACACCTCCGCGGACGAGGACTCGGAGCCGCAGAAGCCGTCGGCCGCGAAACCCAAGGGCAAAGGCAAGCGGAAGCACTTTGTCGAGATCACCGTGGACACGCCCCTGAGCGCGTTGAACAGATTCTTCGAGTGGCAGAGTGCGGCCATCGTCACCGAGCGCGAGTCAAGCGACAAGGGCGGCACTCTCAAGCCGGTGGCGGTGGTCACCAAGGTAGATCTGCTTACTTGGATGTTGAGCGAGCACAAGCCGTAATTCTCTCGAGGTAACGGAAGCCATATTTCACGAGATATTGGGATCAGATTCAACAGGGTCATGGGATCAAAAAGGAGAGGACGGGGTGGGATTGCCTTGCAAGAGTGCAATGTTGGGAATATTCAACACGAGCCCATCTGTGGTGGCGATGCACATTGCATGGACGGGAGTGACAAGGATCAGAACAAACTCCATAATGACTCAGGAGCGATTGAGATTTCATGTATTTACACGATAAAACCCACGTCCGCAAGGACAATTTACCCATGACGACGCCTACAAGACTTACCTCCCCGAGTGGAGTGCAGTGCCTGCTTCGTCGATTAAAATCATCATCAGGACAGGGACAAGCCCACCACCGGTAGAAAAAAAAAAATATAGAAAAGGGGGGAGGATATCGGATATGGGCGCAGAGACGGAAACGAGCCAGAACATCGTGGCTGTATGACAAGACAAAGATGGCGCGTAGGGAGAGTTAACACGTGTCGTGCCGACGATGTTGTAGTGGTGAACGCCGAAGAGCGAGTTCGTAGGAGATGGATCGTGCGGATGAGGCGGAAGGATAGGATGGAGGAATTGCGCAAGGGGATACGTGGTGGGATTGCGAGAATGGGAATTACGAACGGCGGAGGCGGGGACGAGAGAAAGCGAGGCCGAGGAGGCGCTGCATCGCCGCGGACGAAAAGGAACGAGTCTGATGGCTAGAGCTGCTGTAACGTTTCGAAGAGGAATAGGAAAGGGGGGAACGGCGGCACATGGTGTCAAGATAGGTATCGTCCGATTTTCCGTATCGACGCCTCGATCGAATACTTCGTAGGCTACCGAGGACAACGGTTGACGACCGATAAGTCAGCTGTTGTACAGGATTGAGCCCGCACCGTTCGCTCGAAGTCGATCTAATCCCGTGTCAAGTCAATTTGAACCACCACTCACTGCTATGCCTGAGACTCTCAGGTCATGCAAGCTCTGCAATTGAATCATCATAACAATGTCAAGGGCGAGAGAAAATCTGAAGGAAACCTAGCACATTCCTGCCCTTTATGATCACAGGGGTTGCGATCTTGCCCATCTCAAGGATTCTGCTTGTTTGTTCGTTTGCAATAAAGCACGCTGGACTTGGCACCAGGTGGGTGGTGGCACATCACGCTGCCTTCTCATTCCGCGGTATCGAGTTCATCGTGGGCCGGGGGAGGGGAATCCACAGCTGATACGGGTGTCAGCAGATCAAATCCAGGCTGCATCTGTGTCGAGTTCCATCATACCTTTCCGGTCATCGCCATTTGCAGCGCCGTCACGGTCCTCGTCGCGTCGGTCTCGGTCATCTTTCATGTCCCGGTCGCGGTCTCGATCACGCTCACGGTCCGCAGGGCTGCGCGAGCGGCGTCGGTCATCGTAGTCTCGGTCCCGGTCTCTTTCCCGATCTCGGTCGCGGTCGCGGCGATCGTCCTTGCGAGGAGAATAGTCGCGGCGTCGAGGAGAGGGAGAACGAGCTGAGCGGCGTGGAGGAGAGCGCTCACGACGGCCTCGACCAGCTTCGTAGCGCCAGGTAGCAGAAGGGGGGGTGCGGGCCCACTACAAGTTGAGTAGTCAGATAATGTGTTTGGCAAGGCGGTTAGAGTGAGTGAGAGTTGCCCTTCCATACCTCAATCTTCAAGACGTCATCACGACCAATTCGCTTATTATGCATCTCGTGATAGGCATCGTCAGCATCGCGACGACTCTCGTATTCGACGAAGGCGAAGCTGCTCAGGTGTCAATTTGCGTCAGCGGCAGGGGTCGGTGTTCAGTACTTACAGACGGCTTGATGCAGTTCTGGGGGCAGGAATGTCACATCTAACCAGACGACCATAGTGTTCGAACTCATAGGCAAGATCACGGGCGCGGGTGCCATGACCAAAACCCGTGACATACAGGGTAGTGCCAGATCGAGACATGGTCACGATGAAAAGGTGAAAGGGGCCAGGTGGCAAGCTGCTCGATCGTGGTCGATGTTGTTTCGTGCTGGTCACCAAGCGCCTGAACTCTAGCCGCGAATGACTGTTAATACAATCTCTGGTTGGCAGAGTGAATGCAACTGATGATGGACAAGGCAGAAGGGAGGATTGGATAGATGGAAAATGGAGGAAAGAAGGCAGAAGTTGTTTGACGGATGGAGCTGCGTTTGCGTTTGCCTCATTTTTAGATCAAACGGGGCTAAACTGAAAACAGAAAATTAAGCTTGGCATAGCCCAGCCAGTCACTGCCACGGCTAAGTCATCATGAAAAGCCGCAGTCAGAGGCCTGGAAGGGTCACGCTGGTCTACTCGCCTGCGATTTGTACAGGGGAGGACAGACTTTATCACTCTACGAGCTGGCATATGCTGTTACCACACGTCTCTTGCTTCTATTCCTTCATTTCACCTCTTCCACGTTCTTAGATTCACCTGGTTGACAGAGTCTTTCCCACCTCGACATTCTCCACTCGATCAATTTCCCTTTCTAATCGCGCGATCCTCTTTGCCGACTTGTCCCGTTTCCGATCCCCCCATATCGCTCTTCTTCGACCCTATCAGCTCGAGTGGATGATACAACAGGCTTGCTTCGTGGTGAAGCATTGTTCTTGAACTCTACACGACACCTGTCTGGAGCTGGTAGGAAGAGACGCTTCACAGACACAGGATGTTCTCTTACACCACCCGAACCCCGTGAAGAATTTTCCATGGACGCCACAGCCGCCTTCGACCCCAGAATTCTACCTGCTGTGACGCCTGCACGCCTGCAACCGTCTCGGTTGACACTGAATTCCCCGCTTCCCTCGTCAAACTCACATCAGAGTCATGCGTCTCGGAGAGAAGGACCCTGTTACTGTCAACGGTAACGTCGACCAGAGCTCGACCTCTCTACGGGACCTACCAAGTATACCGGAGGTCAGTGCTGTCGCGTCCCAAAGATCGAATAAGCCCGGTCCTAACCCGTATAGAATCCTACTACCATGGCGACATCTGATTTCGTCCTCTCGCTGCGAGAGTTTTTCTCGACACCCTTCACAGCCGCTTTCTGTGCCGGTGGCGTGGCAGGCGCTGTCTCCCGCACCGTTGTCTCGCCGTTAGAACGCTTAAAGATTCTGTACCAGGTACAAAGCGCCGGTCGTAACGAATATAAGATGTCTATTGCCAAAGCTCTTAAAAAGATGTATACGGATGAGGGCTGGAGGGGGTTCATGAGGGGGAACGGTACGAATTGCATACGCATAATACCCTACTCGGCTGTACAGTTCGGCAGCTATAACATCTATAAGCGCTTCGCTGAACCTTCACCTGGCGCCGATCTCGACCCCATTCGCCGACTCATCTGCGGTGGTCTCGCCGGTATCACCTCTGTCACATTCACCTACCCTCTAGATATTGTTCGAACCCGCTTGTCTATCCAGTCAGCTTCATTCGCCGCGCTTGGAAAGCACGAAGGGAAGTTGCCAGGCATGTGGCAGGTCATGGTTATGATGTACAAAACTGAGGGCGGTATTCTGGGTCTCTACCGAGGCATAATTCCCACCGTTGCCGGTGTCGCTCCCTACGTTGGCCTCAACTTCATGGTCTACGAATCAGTCAGGAAATACTTCACGGAACCAGGTGAGAAAAACCCTGTCTGGTATCGAAAACTTGCCGCAGGCGCCATCGCGGGAGCAGTCGCGCAGACTTGCACATATCCGTTTGATGTCCTCCGAAGGCGCTTCCAAATCAACGCCATGAGCGGAATGGGATATCAATACAAATCAATATGGGATGCCGTCAGAACTATCATCGCACAGGAGGGCGTTCTTGGGCTTTACAAGGGTATCATGCCTAATCTGCTCAAGGTCGCTCCGAGCATGGCAAGCAGCTGGCTCAGCTTTGAGGTTACAAGAGATTTCTTGGTGGCTCTGGCTCCAGAAAAGGAAAATGGAGACCCTGTTTGAAAGTGTCAAAGTCAAACTAAGATATATGGCACTTTCGTCCCCCACAAACCGTCAGGAACTGCTATACATCTCTCCAACGATCGACTCGAAACCAAGTGCAGCCCGGGACAAAATACCGCCTGTTTGAAGGGAAGGGAATGAAATGATACCATCATCGATCGTTCTTACTCTCACAGAAGAGAAGACCTGCGCCGCTTTTGTAAGCGCTGCTGTATATTCCACATAAATGGGGGGCATGGCGAAATTTATGGTGTCAAAAGGTCGAGGGAAACCGAATTAGAGAGACCTGGGGCGAGGCATTTTCTGGAGTATTAAGACAAGCTTATGACTTTGGTCTCTGATGGACTTGAAGTTTGAGCATCATTTTTCTGAGTAGATCGAATTGAATATTGAATTGGTCGCTCTTATAACGGTAGTCTTAACCCGCTGAAAATTTTTCCCGAAATTCGCCTTCATCATGACGACGTACTCATTACCAACTTCGCGGCGAGCCGGTGTGATTGAAGAATAGCAGTTGAACTCGAATAGTAAGGCTGGCCACAACAGTACTTGACATTATTGGCATTGATACTGTATGCTCCCTATGTCACGTGACCAACGCAAAGGCTTTGAGTGCCGAAATAGTTTAGCGTGCAGAAATCTTGGCACGCCGCACAGCGTTCGCACCCGCTAGTTTCTCACGTCGACCAAATTTACAGACTGACCTTCTGAGGACGTCGCCGACCCTTTCTCGTTCAACAAAATCCACCACAGCCAGCGATCATGGGTATGTACCATTCAGCAGTGGTTGCTGCTTCATTGTACGACTGACATCTGTTTCCAGGTATCGACCTCGATCGCCATCACGTCAAGGCAAGCCACCGAAAGGCGCCCAAGAGCGACAATGTCTACCTCAAGCTCTTGGTGAAGCTTTACCGCTTCCTGGCCCGTAAGTTGCAAGACTGAGCAATCTGAAGAGGTGAGCCATCATTGACTGACAATCACAGGCCGAACCGATTCCAACTTCAACAAGGTCGTGCTCAAGCGCCTGTTCATGTCCCGCATCAACCGCCCTCCCATGTCCATCTCCCGCATCGCCAGCAAGGTTTCGACCGAGACGGCGCAAAAGGCATACAAGGACAAGACCATTGCCGTCATTGGCACCGTCACCGATGACAACCGCCTGCTCACCGTGCCTGAACTCCACATCGCCGCGCTTCGGTTCACTGCGACTGCCCGCGCCCGAATTGAGAAGGCCGGCGGTGAGTGCCTCACTCTCGACCAACTCGCTCTGAGACACCCTACTGGAAGTAACGTGGTGCTCCTGCGGGGACCCAAGAATGCCCGAGAGGCCGTCAAGCATTTCGGCTTTGGGCCGCACAAACACAAGAAGCCATATGTCGAGAGCAAGGGCAGGAAGTTCGAGAAGGCCAGAGGCAGGAGACGGTCCAAGGGTTTCAAGGTGTAGACGTGGCCTCCGTGTTGGCAGTCTGCTGGTGGTGGTGGTTGTCATGGTGGACTTCGTCAAGTAGGATCCCGGGGCCGATGAGTGGATGACGGGAAGGTCACGAAACTTTCTTCGAGCGCACCAGATGGGTCGATGAAGATGGGACTCTACGGAATCGGAGCAAAGAACGAAATTCCAACAAGCGAGCTGCTCGATCGTCTCGATTTGTCCAGCGTCCTCCTTCAAGCAGAGACAAAAAGGTTCGTGCGAGCCGCCTGTGGCTATGAGGGGAGGAAAAGATTCTACCTCACATGGTCGCTGTCAAAATTTCCAGACTAGGGGGACGCAAGACAAAAATTCCAATGCAATTGATTTCAAAACGAAAGACGACCGTTTCAATTCGCTTCTTGTGCATTTTTGGTTCTTTTTCATTGGTATTCAGTCCAACTTTTTTCTTGGGGTTGTGGCAGTGACAACGCCAGCTCATGTAAACCGTCAGTCAATACAGTAGTGAGCACTGGGATATCCTTGTTCCCCTCTTTCCATCTCATCATCGACGCCTCCCCTTTTGCATCGTTGTCATATCTCGATCTTCTCGTGCAGATACCTCCTCTGTCCTTCCCCTTCCCCGTACTCGCCCGCGCCCTGACCCGTTCCCCGGAGCTTGTACTTGTAGATCGTCAACCCTTCCAGACCGACGGGTCCTCTCGAATGGATCTTGTTCGTGCTGATGCCGACCTCGGTGCCGAATCCGTACCGCATGCCGTCCGCGAAGCGGGTCGAGGCGTTCCAGTACACGCCGGCCGAGTCGACGGCGGACATGAACTTCTCGGCGGCGGCGGAGGAGCGTGTGATGATGGCGTCGGTGTGGTGCGACGAGTGTGTGTTGATGTGCGCGATGGCGCGGAGGAGAGATGCGTCGTTTGCTTCGTCTTGCACGTCGCCAGAGCCGTGTCCGTTCGGTAAAGTATCGTTGGTGGTACTGGTGGAGGAAGACGTGCCGGCGGGCACAGTCTTGACAGCCATGATCAGGTCGAGGAACTCGGTCGTGAAGTCCGACTCGGTCGCATCTTGCAGCAAGGCTGCGTTCGCGGGACTCAGCACTTCGGTCAGTGCTTTCTTGCTTTGTTCGTCGCAGCGTAACCTCACGCCCTTCTTCTGTAGCTCTTCCACCACGCTGGGCAGCACTGTCTTCAACACCGCCTCGTGCACCAGTAGCGTCTCTGCCGCATTGCACGCCGCTGGGTAGTCGCACTTGGAGTCGACTACCACCTTGACAGCCAGGTCCTTTTCGGCATCCTTGTGCAAGTACACGGCGCACAGACCGTCGGCATGGCCCAGGACGGGAATCTTCGTGTGGCTCTTGACGTATCTGACCAGTTCGTTACCCCCTCTGGGGATAACGAGGTCAATGTACCGATCTAGGCCGAGAAGATCGTCGATCACGTCGCGAGTCTTGACCAGCTGGATCGCCGCCACGGGGACTTGGGTACTGGCCAGAGCGTCGCCGATGACTCTGGCGATGGCCTCGAAACTCGCGGCACTTTCCTTGCCGCCCTTGAGGATGGCCGCGT